ACCCCACCCCCACTTTATAACAAAAGGCAAAGTCAACTCAACTTCCACTTGTAATCTAATGCATGATAAAAAGTCCCACAAATGTGTGTTGATGCATCTTTGCCATTGTGCTTCTTCAAGTTGTGCCACCATTAAAGATTTTGGACCATTAACACCTTTGTTTAATCTATATCCATTTCTTAAATTATCTTTTACATAATTATACTGGATTTTATTCTTACAGATAAACTATAATACTGTTTAGATTTCTGTTAGAGGTGTCAAGATTAGACAAAGTGTGTAACAAGTCAAGACGGGTATTTTTTGGGTTTAAAAGTACATACTGTAAGTTAAATTTTGTTTTTGATAATATATAACGATTTACAGTAATTTTTGTTCAGTGTAAAAGACTAAATATTCGTTCGCTTATGCTTGGTAGAGCCATTGCAACTGGTTTAACCAATGCATTATAATAATTAATATACATAAAATTATCATAAACTCGAACAACATAGAATTATGTTGATAATTTGCCTAAGTGACTGAAAAGTAAAATACGTTGTTGTTTATGTGTGTAAAAAGGTACATTGTTGAAATTTAATTTATATAAAATATGTTTATATTATGTACATTTAACCCGTTTTTAAAAGGGCAAATTGCATGAAAAAGTAACATATTTTAAATTGATTCTTATTTTGGATAATGTACTTTTAAAACTTTCATTTTTGTATCTAAGATGTAAAATTTTAAACAATTAAGTACCCCGGTAACCAGTTGAAGCATTAACCGGTTACCATGCTGATGTGGCGAGTGATGTGGTATCCAAAATTCTCAATCTCATCCTATTTTGTAATCTGGAAATGGGATTGAGTTTAAGAATTTGGTAACCGGTTAAAGTTTCAACCGTTTACCTGATTACTTAAAAGTTTTACATCTTATTTACTAAAATGAAAGTTTTGAAAATACATTAACAAAGTAAGAATCAAGTTAAAATACGTTATTTTTTCATTTAATTTGCCTTTTCTTAAATGTAGGTCGAGTTGGTTTGATTCGCTAACATGTTTTCATCGTTTTTTATTTTATAAATAATCAATATATTAATTACAACAAAAATAATTATTTAATTTAGGATCTCGTCAGAACATCTTCGACAATGATGTATAATGGAATATGAAAAGTTAAAATCTCTAAAAAATTACACTCAACTCCAACAGCTAGTTTATTTTAGCAATTTTAACATTAACTATATTAATAAAATATTCAATACATTTAATAAATTATTGTTTATCTGTCCTACACATTTAATTTCATTACCTTTTGTTGGTGGAAAAGATTTAAAATAGTATTTCTTTCTCTTATATAAAGTTTTAGAGATTTTTCCACATTATCTCTCTTCTTTTTTCTTTTTTAGCATATCATTTAGCATAACTGTTGGAGAAAAAAAACCCTAAATCTTTAAAATTTTATATTTTAGCATAGCTGTTAGAGATGTTTTTGAACAACTTTGTCAGATATTTTAGCTATTCTTTTAATTTGACTCGTTAAAAAAGATTTTAACGAATCAAACCAACTCGAGCGAATTGGTATTTTAGCAAGAATTTTAAGAAGATGGATCATAAAAGGATATGATTCATTTTAATTTAAAGAATCTTGTTGGGCTTGATTCCAAATCCAATTGATGATTGTGATTTGTATGATTCAGCCTAAATGTAATAAAAGCCCAAAAAATTCAAATTATATATATATATATATATATATATATATATATATATAGGCCTAATCAAATGAGAACTAATTAATTTGTGGTAACTGTGATAACTAATATTAACCACAAATCAATAGATAAATTAAGAAATTTATAATTTTGGTAATTTTGAATTAAAATATTAATGCAAGGATATTTTTGATATTTTAAAACTTTCCTCTCTCCTCTCTTCTCTCTCTGGCCACCGCCCTCCGGCCACCGTCCTCCGATGATACTACAATGGTATCACAATGCATCATATATGTGCTTGGGTATCACATTGATGTCGTTTGTGTGGTCGATCGAAGATGTAACACAGTGGTATCACTATACATCTTATATATGATTAGGTATCACAATGTATCTTTTGTTTAACAGAGTCAATATTTTTAG